CCACAGGTGGGCCCGCCTGAGCGAGGCTGCAGCTCCGGCCGTGGGCATGGGCACCGAGGCGCACGGGAGCACAGAGGCCTCGGGCTTGAAGACTCGGACGTGTGGGGCCCCCAGGAAGGTGCACAGAGGAGGGGGCGGGGCCTGGGGCCCCCTGGCCTGGGGTCTCCAGCTGATCGCAGGGTTGGCGGGGCCCAGGGCTGGGCAGGGGTCTCTGGGGCTGACTCAGTACCGAGCTCAGAAGCACCTGCCGCCATGGCTGCTGGCAGGGCCTGCTGAGCCCTGAAACGTGACCAGGATGAGGAGGGGCTGCCTTTAGGCTTCATACGCTGAGCCTGGTAGGGCGCGGGCTGAGAGGCGCCCACGCCTGGTGCCACTAGAAGTCTGCGCATAACCTTTGACGCCCCCGACCCGTAACTGCCAACCGGCTACCACCGACTGGAAGCCCCGCCAACAAGCGGGAGCCGGTGATGGTGCGTGTCTTGTGTCTGTGTCAGATACTGTATCCTTACAACAAAGTAAACCAGGAAAAGGAAAAGATATTAACTACGAAAATCAGAAGGAAGTCCTGGCTGGTTGGCTCAGTGGATAGAGCGTTGGCCTGCGGACTGAAGGGTCCCAGGGTCTATTCCGGCCAAGAGCACAGGCCCGGGTGGCGGGCTCGGTCCCCAGTGGGGGGCGCGCTGGAGGCAGCGGATCCATGATTCTCCCTCATCATTAATGTTTCTCTCTCTCTCCTCCCCCTCCCTTCCTCTCTGAAATCGATAAAAAAAATAAATTTTAAAAATCAGAATGAAGAGAAAATGCATTTATTGGAAACATTTCGCGTAGAAGTGGCTCCTGGAAGCTCAAGCCCGTGGAGTTCAAGGTCAGAGGTGGCTGATGTCACTAACGAGCCCGCGCGGCCAGGGCTCCGCGCAGGGTGCAGTGTGGGCGCCTTCTCGTCCTTCCCCGGGGCCTCTGGCCGCTGATTCCCCAGATTCCCCAGCGCGGGGCCCGGCCGGCCGCTCCGAGCTCTCCGACCGGGTGGTGGGTGGGTGACGGTCATCATGGCTCCTTCCTGCCTCGTTCGAGCTCAGAGCATTTGGTGGAGAGTTTACGTGGGTTTAACCTCCGAGGCGCCCCAGGCTGGGGATGGAGCTGGGCCTGGCTGTCCGGGGCCGGGCCCAGAACGGGCTTCTTAACCCCGTGACCCCGGTCCCAGGCTCAGGGACACCCTGCCAGACCGGGCACGACCGTTAAGTCCGTGTGTGGGAGACGCCACAACGACCTGGCTCAGCGATCGGGAGCCCGGGCCTGACCCCGGCCCCAAGCTCAGCGGAC